GAACTGTATTGTGGATTACAGCAACCTTCATTCATTATAAAATTGACAAGATTGACGTTTAAGATACTAGTGCGTGATAAGAAATCATTCGATTTGATTGCAGTTCAGGTTTCTGAATTTTTTGGAGGTTCAAGAATCTGGCAAATCGTTATATGACGCAGATAATTTGCCGGAGATTGCCTGGCAATTCCAGTAGCACTCTGGACGAGATTCAATTTCCCGGCACAGAGTAATAGGGAAGAATTGCATAAGGTTTCGTGCTAGAAGTCAACGAGGACTGCGCAACGACTGTTTGCGAAGACAAGCAAAAGTAAGTACACAGTAAAGTGAGTACATTGTAAACCGAGTCGTGCTGTTAACGGTCAGAGAGTATAGTATCGTGTTATACGTATGGGTTCGTGGCATACCAACTGTAATGGTGACGAAAACAGAGATGAACCTATGGCTTTTTCTTGTCGAGAGAAAGAATTTCTTGTATGTCATTCCGTTGAGGTCGATACACCCGAAAGGTGGATCCAGGCAGGCTTAATTTCCTTTCTACAGTCGTTTGAAGCAACCATCAAATGAATCAAATGAATGAAGTGGAACTCTTTTCTTAGAAGTTGAAACTATTAACATTGTACCATTTCTTTAATATATTTTCAATATCTTTGCAGCGATATACATATATATATATATATATGTATATCGTAGAATTAGGATTTTGTGTTTTTATAGAAATTTCAAATTTGTGAAACGTAAGGAAAATGTTTAAGCTAATGAAAGCTAAAACTCTCATATGCTGAAACTAATTAAAAAGTTTCTCATTAATGCTATACATCGAGAAACAATTTCAGCCAGAATTTCAGAAAACGAGGTTTTCAAAAAATTACTTTTGCAATAATTTAATTAATTTTGGAAGTTTTTAAAATTCAAATTGCTGAAAGTATTTGCAATCTAGTGAACAATTAATTTTTCAAAATTTTCATCGAGATTCCCAAGTATCAATAGTATCGTACACATTTTTAAAAACTGTTTCATTTCTTCCCAGTCGACTGCTTTTCATGCACGACGTAGCGTCCGGTACAATTGTAATTGCAAATGCATCGAGTTCGATCGAAACGTCCTTGATACTTGATCGCATTTCACCTTTTTCCTACACGGGTAGTCGATTTATCGATTCTATTTATACACACACACGATTCCCATTAAGTCAGAAGTTCATATTACGCGCAACTCTCGGTTAATTCAAATTTATTCAAATTTTTAATTGTAAATAAGGCTGTTTACTGACTGTCTGCTTGAGAATGAGAAATCGTTCATGTTCAATGAAATACTTAAGGTAATCGATTAATCAAGTCCAGCTTTGGTATTTTAGATTATTTGTATTTACTCGTCTCTGTATAGAGTTTATTTATTAGAGTTTATTTTTGTTACGCTTTCGTAGTTCCATTTTAATTAAAATTTTTTAGTTATGATAGATTCTTATTATATACTAAATGATCTAAAATGTTCTAAGTGAACGAGTAGAAAAAACTCTTCGTTGCTATTTTGATTCTGTTTTGTAGAAATTTGAAAACTAGTTCAATATTCTAATCAATATCGAGGAGTACTAATCGGTAAAATTCGAACACTGTGGAATGGTAAAACTCGAACACTATTAACGGATCGTATAACACATTATTCTAATTTCGACTGAATTTAGACGCGATGAGAATCACTGACCCACAACAGGTGGACGCCTGGCGTTGCGCAATATCCATACGTGAACGTCTATCGCGAACGTAAACGATTTTAAATGGACGTCATGGAATTTCAAGTGAATCAAATGCCTGAAAACTGTGCGACATTTTTTTTACTACTTCGTACGCAATTCCGACTGAAGTTGCGTAACAAAGATGATCGTTCCTAAAAAGCAATTATTATAGAAGCGCGACAATCGTCGCGTCAAATATTTGGCTTCTTCGCAATAGAGAAATCTCTGCTCGACCCACAAGCATCTTCGTCTTTCCAACATTGCATGCATTGCGCTCGCCTCTTTATGAAATTGATGGAAAGGTTTGTGAGGAAATAGAGCGTGATATCGTTGCAACAAATGTATTTACAAGCTTTGAAGAAATTATCCTATTTCTTGAAAAATTTTAGCACTCTGAAACTTGAGAATTACTTGAAGCATTAATTTGAGATATAACAATGGACAATTTTTTGCAGTATATTTTTTTAATACACTAAACATTTTTTTGAACGCGATTAAAATTCTGCTACTATTATAAATTACTACTGTTACTATATTATACTATTATAAATATATATATACTATATATAATACTATATATAATATATACTATATAATACTATATATAATACTATATATATAATATATACTATATAATACTATATATAATACTATATATAATACTATATATAATATATACTATATAATACTATATATAATACTATATATATAATATATACTATATAATACTATATATAATACTATATATAATACTATATATAATATATACTATATAATACTATATATAATATATACTATATAATACTATACTATTATAAATTATTGATATTTAATCTTCATTTCATCTTCATGATTACAGTCATTTTCTTTTTCGTTTTATAAATGTCTACAAAATTAATTGGAATTGTTCGCTGAAGAGATATGCTAAACGCGTCACAATTTTGTGAAGTTGTATCAAAAAGCCGGTTCACGGAAGCAGATCATGATCAATATGTGGTAGCATAAAGTGGCGTTTACGTTCGAGGAAGCACGTGGTCGCGGCCAAGAGTGAAAGTGAAAGATGGCTGTATAGTCGTCCACGTGGTGTTGCTTTTCACGGGAACGTGGTTAAGTACCGACTCTGCTCAACTCCGGGTAACACGTTTGCGACCGGTCTGTCGATTGGCCGAGTTTCAGTAACGAGGTTTCATAATTACCGCCGAAAAACCACCGCGAAAGCCAGTGCCGTTAAAGTGCCGTTACCGAAAAATGGTCCATGTAATTAACACTCATCTGTGTGCGCCGCATCGACCTTCGGAGCACTGTACATTCAAGCTTAAAATTTAGGAGAAGAATTTTGTAATTCTCTTCAAGAGAGCTCAGTCATTGTTTTGCGAAATATTAGTTGCCGCGCTAAGAAAATGACAAATTGGTGACATCAAACTTTGTTGATGGATAGAATTTCCACCTGGAAGTCTTAAAAGTCGACAAAATATTCTTGTAGAGAAAATCGATTCTTCTTTAGAAAGAAATATATTTTTGGAGAAGTGTGCTCCAGTAATGATTTGATATATATTTTTAAGGCTAAAGTAATTATTACACAGCGGATTTTATGCAATCATAGCAAAAAACAATGGATAGATGAAACATAAACTAGTGAACAGATTAAATGAAACTGAGGATGTTGATGCAGTAATTCCTACTTGTTAAAATTACTTTTTAATAGAGAAAAATTGTTGCACTTGGCTCCTACGTTTCGGAATTGACGCAGACAATTTTTGTTTTCCATAAAGATCCGCGATCTAGTAATTAATAACATTGGGACAAGGGTTGCAATTTTAATTCTTACACTGGAGATAAAATCGAAAGAATAAAAATTAAATTCTAGTGATAAGAAAAGACTGCAAATTTCCAGGCTAAAACCCAAGCAATTAACAGCCCAGTGGCAATCAATGAAACGCAGCTCAGAGCCTAACTAATCGCTTTTCCATCCGGAAGAAATCAATTCCTGGAAGAGTCGATTCGCCGGGTCAATGAAATCAAGAATAGACCGCATAATCGTCATGCTGCAGCCGCAACGTAAGCCTCAGCGAATTGTTCCTCTCGCGTGATCGGTTAATGGAAACACACGCGACACTTCCGTAGAAAGTTTCTAATCAGAACCACCGTGCAAACAACAGATTATTGCCTCTACTGTATCTCTATTGTCCGTGCAATCTAATCTTGCATCTGCGTTCGTTGAAACCGTCTGATCCTGCTTTCGAATTCGTAGCCGGAGCTCGAGGGCGCAATAATCTCTCGATTGCACCGACAATGCACGCGGAAGGGCAGCGTTCGTTGCACTTGGAAAGTGCATCGACGATCTGCTCCGATGGTCGCGTAATTCTGTAGCAGGGACGTTTCATAAGATCGACGCTGGCAATTGCCGTGCGTATCAGTTCTCGGGGCAGTTCTGATTTCACTTCGCTTGGCAGCGTTACGCGATGATCGTCGGTTGTGCAACTCATTTCTGAGCTCCTAATTGACAGATCGGTAAGCTGTGAACATATGAAGTAGCAATTGACTCGGTCAATGTGTCGAACTATAAATGAGCTACGGTCGTTTATTTTGCAACGAAGTCGTGAATCTTTTGGTAGAATTAACCTTCCAACCGTTAGCCCAAATTTGGCTATAACTGGTCATTATTGACCCATTAGAGGACTGCTGATTACAAAGGATACGCCGAACGCTAAGTTACCTCTCATCAGAGAATTGAGTAAAAGATGAACCAGCTTGATTGGACGAGAGTATAGGTAGAACAATGAAAGTATTTTTTAAATTAAAGCTGAAACATTCTAGAATAAAGGAAAAATAAGAAGACAGAGTGAGAAAAACAGTTTTGATCTTGAGAATATTTATTGAAGTTGATCTGTGTTAAGGAACTTTAACTTAAGGAGGGTCAACTTCGAGAAATGTTTTCAAGGTCAAAACATATTCGTCATTTTTTCTTCTTATTTTTCATTTATTCTGCAATTTGTCGGTTTTGATTTAAGTAAGTTTCCATCGCCCTAGCTTGATTCTGTTAGATGTTATACAATTTCGTCGTAGAAGTGTGGCTAACTATGAGACTCTGAAAAAGCGGATTGCCTCGAGGCTACAGGTTGACCAGAATGTTACGCTCACTTTATTACATGAGGATAGAGATCAGACTAGCATAATCAGAGACTAGACTAGACTAGACTAGATTAGACTAGACTAGACTAGACTAGACTAGACTAGATTAGACTAGACTAGACTAGACTAGACTAGATTAGACTAGACTAGACTAGACTAGACTAGATTAGACTAGACTATATTAGACTAGATTATTCAGTGATAGTTTCAAAATGAATTCAGACTTTGAAGGCCTAATCGCAGCTAGATTTGATGAGCCTATTCCTAAGAGAATATAATCTTTATTGATGAAGATTCAATTTTTTTAACAGAAAAAATGAAAATTTTAAGAAATGTAGCAAATAGAATGCAACAGTTTATTCGTAAATCATTAAGCGAGCAGTGATCTTGAACTGCTACAGATGTCTTCTGGTTCAATGATAATAATGTAATATGTAGAAATAATTTACACATCAATTTACAGAAGAAGTTCACAAGACGCACGAACAGAATAAAGTGAATTAATAAAACAATTTTGTGTGAACATATTCACATATTTGTTACTTGTGACTGTATACAATTAAAGAAAGGTGCTTTCCAATCCTTTAGTTAGCTTTTTCAGAACTTTAGTTACAACTTTGCTAGAATAACGACTTATTACAATGAATTAAAGAATTCTTACAGTAAGAGGTTTTGGACATTTACAATGTTAAATACATTGTTCCTGCGCCCTTATCGACGACTGTACATCAGTCAGGTTGCTATCAGCGAGAAATACAGGAATCAAAATTCCGACCCGAGTAGATCCGATTTTTATTCAGCAATCGTCGCGCCAGGCCCTAAAATCGTCGCCGATCGCCGATTTCGCCACAGTCGAAACAAACCGCTATCAAATTCCAATCACGCATAATCCCGAGGTCGTATGCAGGTGAAAATGGAGCACAAGGCGAACTGTCCAGTCAGTGTCACCTGGAAAACCGAAATTCTACGGTGCTCTGACAGTCACGCTCTGTCTCTCGCAAAGTTTGGTGCGGTTTGAACCACTTTATACCGCAATTCCAACGCAACTACCAACAAAGTAGTAGTCTAACTTTTGCAGATCGATATTTCCACAAGTGTAGGGAAAGAGCAACGAGAGAAAGCGCAACGAGGTTCCACGGGCAAATGGTGTTTCTGAAATTCAGTGCCAGCGGGTTTGTTATAGTGTTCGCGCGGTTCCGCGATGCATGCGTGATTCACGGAGCATGATTCCGTGGGTGTGACGACGTGTACAGGGTTTTCCGCGTTCCATATGCAGAATGGCCATTGGCTAAACGATCAGTACCATTTAAATCGAATAAGGTCGACCGAGGAATACAAATCGTCTCGTTAGTCGCGTTTTTCTCATTTTCCTGGCGGACCATCGGTGGTTGCACACGCCGGTTGTTGACGTGATGGGAATATGAAAAGAAGAGACATGTGCTTGACTGCTTCCTTATCGAGCGGGTGGTAAACTGCTCCCCGACAGCACCCGTTTCCTTGTTTTTCTGGTTCTCACTGTTATTCGAACTCCTTGCACGGTGTTATCTTGTTCTGAATGTGTCGAATGCACCGTTTGGACACGTCTGCACTGGGGTTTCTAAAGCAAGTACTTGTTTTAAATTGTTGTGCGACTGTTCTGTGATAATCATTTGTGCAATTACTGTGCGTCATCGATGTCTACTTTTTTTGTTGACAAAATTGAAACGAAAGAAGAAGGAAAGAATTCATAACTTGACTGGAACTAGGACAGTGTTTTTTAAGATTGCTCTAAGATCAGACCTCGCGTAGTAATATTGATACGTTTAGTGATGTATAAACTGCAAATCTTTATACATTTGAGACACACACGAATTTTTAAAATACATTAAAACATAGAACATAAATACAACTCGGTGATTTCGTTTCATTTTTATGTCAAGGATTCTATCTATCAGGTGCTTCTTTTGGCGAAGCTAAAACATATATTGTTTACCTATCCAGTTTCTGTGATTAATCAAACAGATTTCTTTGCAGATGAAGACACCATTGATCTCTTCATTGCCAACCGGATTATTCCTCCTATTCTTCGTTAGCCCCCTTCGAAGCGACCCTCAACAAACTCTATGGTCAAATTATGCGATTCATCGGCCTATAGATCCTAGATTGCAGTCGGTAGAAGTATTTCCTGATCAATATAGTGCACCAAGTATTCAAAGGCCACCATCATACGCAGCTCATTACGTATCCCAAGATGATCCAAGCCAATTTCGGATCGAAACTTCAAGATATCTTGCGAAAACACCTGAAGCAAGGTATCAGTCTAGAGAAGGATACTATGATTATCAAACTTTCACACCGAAAAATGAGGAGAAGAAGGACATTGAGGACTCAAAATTTAGTTCGAGGGAGAAGGAGATAGCAGAGAATATGAAAATCCTTGATCGATTGCTGTCGGAGGATTCTAGTGAGAAAGATATTGATAATTCATTGGACGGGAAGATAATGTCTGAGGAGACGAAGAGAGTTGCTAGAGCGATTCGCAAGCAGAAGCCGGGATTCTTTTGGACACTCGCTAGAGTCACCTTCGAAGTAAGCAAACTAATTTTAAAGAAACGTTTAGTCTCTAGTGAGTATCATAAAGTTATGTAGTTAGTTCCAAAAAATAGTATCTTCTTTACCTGTTATTGTGTCCGTTCTACAATCAAAATTCTGACTTAATACGTTCGGCGCCGACAATCGATCACGAAAATTCAAAATTAAATCGAAAATAGAAAGCTAAAATTTATCATAGTAGATGACATTAGATCCCTTTCAAGTACGAAACATCCTAGACAAATTCAGTTCGTTCGAATATATTACAATGAAAATGAATTTTCAAAATTGGTTAAAGATTAGTGTCATCCACATTTAACCGACGCAATGCTCAACGTATTAATATTGACCCCTTGCGCTGCAATAACGTAATACGCACTAATAACTAGGAAATAAATAAATAGTGAAACCAGTTAGACACACTACAAATGTCACGTTGCATTGTGTATTTTGCATCGTGTCAATGTTCATCGTGCTGTACGAGATTATTAACAAAATCTTCAACACACTAGTAATCTTGTAAATAATTGTCTTCGATGGATTCGTCTCACAAGCGTCTATCAATTATTCGGCACAGGGGGTTAAATGAAGTTTAGATATATTAGTAATTCATCACTGTTCTCATTGCCCTAGACCTTCAACGACACAAAGTCAGCCATTCAGCAGATCAGCGACATGATCAACAAGAGCATAGCGCCAGACTCGGTCACTCAAGGCTCTGTACCCAGAGCTTCTTTGACAGCTACTGCAGCTTCCACGTCTCCGAAGAACGCCAGTTCCACAAATGCGACGGAAACGACAACCGTAACACCTACAACCACCACGGAAGAGAACTTCGTGCTGACCAGAAGTAGTCTACAGAGCTTGATCAGGAGAAACGTCCTGGGTTTGGTAAAACTGTTCAATATCGAGTGGAGCGACGCGATAAACGTAAGACAATTATTCTTTTCAACACTTTACCGACCGATCTCTCCTGACACCGGCTCTGTTTCGGTTTAGACTGTCGCGCGGGAATACATGCACTTTTCTTTTGCTCTGGTAAAATGGTACGCTTTCTGTCATTATAAAATAATCAAATTTAATAATGCTTTTATTTTCATGACGTTAGTGCTAAACAATATTTATTTTATCTATTACAATCGTTTTCAGTTTAATATTTATATAATATACCATAATCTATATAACGATATTTTTCAAATAAGAAATCGTTTAATATTTTTTTTAAGTATAATACCGTTCGAACATTGCAAAATTTACAGACAACATTTGTTCCACTTACTTTTTTTTAATTGTCTACCGGTCGGTGAGCGTTGGGAACAAAAAGCCGATTAATCGGATACCGGGCGGTAAGCGTTGGAGACAAAACGCCGATTAATCGGCTATCGGTCGGTAAAGTGTCAAGCTGTGAGATTCAGACCTTCTAAACTAGAATTTTGAAAGATCTAGGAAACATTGCAGGCTTTTAATTAAATTTTCAGGATGCTACCTCCATTGTCCTTTTCTTAATATCTACTTACTTCGTTACGAGATTAGGAATGCTTAGGGGATTCCATCTATGGGCTAGAATTTTAGAATGACCCTCACCTTCTTGGATCTATGTCAGCCATGTTCGAGCAAAGCTCCAGAACACTGTAATAATTCTATTTTTTCCGAAGACCTATCTAAACCGTACCAAAAAAATTAAGACGATTAATTAACGATCCTTGCTAGAGTCGTACCTTGACAAGAGCCATAGAATTTTAGTTAGTCGAATCCTGTATATCCTCAGATCAATTCTTCGCGAATCGACCAACCACTTAAAGCATTTCAACGATTCCAAAGATCGTCTCTTTTCCAGCAATCGGAGATCAACGTCCAGCAATTCCAAAAGGACTTGGGCAAGCAAGTTGGTTCCTACCTGCGTGACAACCCTAACGCATACTGAGGCTCCTGATAATTCTGTGGACACTTTCTCCATCACGTGGCTAAAGACTGAATCTCTTCCATCGATTCCATTTTTTATTTATATAGATATCTGATAATGTACAATTCGAATTAAAGTTACTGCGATCGACACACGAGGCACCGACTCGCCCGACAACCGGCAGCCGGCAGTCGAAGGCCACCCAAATAGGTCGTTGCAAAACACAGAAAAGCCAGAGGTTCGCCCGGGTTACATCACCATTGAAGATCATCGTCCGATATTTATGTAACTTAGCCCCGAAGTCGACCCACATGCTGGCAAGACCTGCGGGCGAGAATAATCAGCGAGAAAGAGGACCGACTGGATCAGACGCGAATCGGAGAAGACCGATTGCGGTAAGTAGAAAGCACCATGTTGCCGTTTTCAATTGGTCGACCGTCGGCGTGGGATCTCCGGTCCCGGGTCTTTATATGTGGATCACTGGCTGCAATCCTCGCGAGTCCCGTGGATCCTCGGAGGACGCAGGACAACGTGCCGGATCTAGTGAACTAATTTTGAACTTTCGTCGAGCCAGTGCCTTGTCCGGTGAGTGCCGTGATCTGAATCGTGTCACCGATCGCCACTTTCCAGGCTTTGATGTATGCCTGGGAATGCACCTGGCGAGCTGCATCGAGCCGAGCTCATTTGCTTTCAGATTGGACTCAATTATAGCGCGCAATTTCTTTCTTTATTTCGTTGGAACGATGGGGACCGGTTTAGCTTGCTTTGTGAGTCGGGATTTAATGATGTAAATTACTGTAATTTTGCAATAGGGTTGGTTGTTGACGCATCGAAGAAAGTGCAGTAGCGACGTGCGTCGAATGTTCATGCGAATTTAGAATTTTGTAGGCTAATTTGGAGACAATGAGACTAAATGATGGTTTAGAGCTAGAATGCAAATTTTGTGCATTTCTGATGGAAATGTAGATTAAGTAAGCTAATTTGGTGCATTTTTGTTAAGATCTTACTGTTACAGCATAGAAATTAATAGAGTGCAATAACGTCCGTATAGCATTGTCTTCTCATCAATATTATTAGAATAGATTCTATGCATTATAAAAAAAAATTGTTTGCACAGAGTCTGCAATCTAGCAGTTATATCGAATAAAATTTGCAATGAACTCTTTGCATCATTCTCTCTTAAAAATTGTTAACAACTCAATCTAGTTTTTCAGCAGAATGTAATTACTCTCTTGTGTTAGAAGAAATAAAAAAAAAAGTATTACAATTGCTAAGTCGGATTGTTTAGTGTTTAATGTAATTCAGGTTCTTTCGAAGCTAAAGTGCTATTTAAATTTTTAATGGACAGTAAAGAAGTTTGATTCGTTCGAACGACCACCTGTGGATGCACCGATAAAGATCGATCGGATGCACCGTTCTACGCGATCGCATTTTTTCCACACCCACCTGTGCGCAGCACGACACTGTGTCCACCCACGCGGTCTAGGTGTAAAGAGTGACACGAACACGTGTCAGTGAGAAAAGACAAAGTAGGGGCAACAAGTTCGTGCGTACGAAGATTACGTGAAATAGAAAGGAGGACCAGTGGTCAAAAGGAGATCCGCGGAGATCTGATTGGTCGATGCTCGGCGTGGGATCTTGCAACCACCCTTATAGATCCACGGATCGTCGATCCGTCGTGCAGTCTGTCGATCACGAAGATCGTTCGTTACAACGTGCTTGGATCGTCAAAGAGGAACGAACATGTTCGGGAGAACGTTTCTCATCGTTGGCGCTGTTTGCTTTGTTGCCTGTGAGGGGGTAAGAACTTTTAATCTTAATTTATTATGGTTTATGTCTGAAAATTGTGCTCATTTATGGAAACAAATTTTTGCGTCTCTTACAGAATGAAGCTTGAGTTGAGTCAAACAATTTTATCAACTTATTAAAAGTAACGCTGTTGAAATTTTGTTTCATGTATTAGGAATAATCTATTTTAGACACCATAATTTGGGAAAAACAGCTTGTTGATGTGCTATGATGGTCCAAAATTTAATTGAAATATAGTTGATCTATGGAATATTTAATTAATAGAACTAGTGGGAATTTTTTTTATGAGGTCTTAGAGTTTAAGCAGCAAGACAAAATCCGAATAGAATGTGACTTCTACAAATCGTTTCTAGTAAGATTAATGAAATATTTTTCTGTACGATTACCCTATGTCAAAGTTGATGTATTGTACAACTTATAGCAAAATTCATACATATCACAATTTTTTATATTGTTAACTAAGTATGACTCCTTAATACGTTAAGCGCAATATCAGTCACCGGTGACTGACGACATAAAGTTTAAAAAATGATGTTCTTGTACATAAATAAATTTAAAATAATTTGTCGATCATAAAAGAACGTACTTATTAACGTTACTTGTTACAACAAAACATATTAACATTGTCGCGGGACAACAACGTAAACAGTTTAAAAGAAGCAATGACGCGAAGTAATAAGGCGCGCTGACCTTTCGGCTAATGGGGCACGCAGAAAATTGTTCGACGCTCTTTATATGTATGTAGAAAAGTGAAAGCAGTAAGTAAACTTGTTCGGGAACGATCGTACACATCGTCGTAAACGAATGTCTCGGCTTGAATCACCGAATTCATAATATGTACCAGGTTTCCTGAACTGCGTGGGTCGAATTTATCGCGACCTCGTTCTATGCGAAGATGGTCTCACACGTCTCAGTAAACGCGATCATTTGACCGACTTACAAACGCGATTTAAATATTAACACTATGCCGTCCGCAGATCTTAGATATGATTCTTTTATTTGGCGCCGGCATAATAGCTTGGAAATTTTAGAATTTAAAAAAAATTTCGAAGATGGCGATAACATAAATTCCTAAAATTAAGATACGTCATCCAAGAATTTTCGTACTTAATTCTTAGTTAAATAAGCACAACGCTATAGTTAGTTTACCGCCTTTTAACACCCAAGAAATATAGTTCAAATGTTATTTCAGTTTTTTAAAATGGCACCAAAGTGGTACCACCGACATACAACAGATAGTTTTTTGCATGGCACCAGCGTGGTGCCACCGGACGACATAGTGTTAATATAGACACGTTCTGTTGCAGATCACCATGAGGGTAAAACGGCAGAGTGACTCGGACGGTGGACAAGTTATTGATAATATTTTCAATGTGAGTATTCCATAAATCATAGCAGTGATTATATTGAATGTTAAACAATCGGATTGTAATAGAGCCAAAACACTGAAATTTTTATCATGAACAGCGAACTTTTATTTAATTTCAAGCACTCCAAGTTTGTTGAAAAGTGGGAGGTTTTATAAACATTTTTTTTTTTCAATCGGGTCATAAATTATTTTACCATCTGTGTTCATTCTTTTTGTTGAAGATCTATTCACCAAAGTTCGTCAATATTTTATTCGTCTGATAAATGATAAACATTTTAATATTCCCACATTCCTTATGCTCTCTCAGTGCTCTACTTCTCGCAAAAATTAATGTACTAGTAGCCTCGATTACCAGTATTGTAATTCAAATTGTGTTTGATTGCTTAGATCCCGATCACAGCGATTAGGCAAACCGCAGTAGCGGCGCAGTCGTTCAGTCCAGAGAACTCACAGACGATTGACAATGTCTTACAGGTATTAATGATTTGTTCATTTGATGTTCATTTGATGAAGTTAGCGAAGTCGATGCTAATTTTGTTAAATTACTCGTCTAGATTCCAATATCGACTCTTGAAGCTGTCGGAAATCTCGTGAAATCGACATCAGGACAAAGAGCTCAGAATGCTGAAGAATATCAACGAATAAGGCAGGAAAGGAGGGACAGATTGGCAGCGCAGAGGGAACGACAGAGACAGCAGAGGGAGCAGATACAACAACAACGTCTTCAANATTCTTAGTTAAATAAGCACAACGCTATAGTTAGTTTACCGCCTTTTAACACCCAAGAAATATAGTTCAAATGTTATTTCAGTTTTTTAAAATGGCACCAAAGTGGTACCACCGACATACAACAGATAGTTTTTTGCATGGCACCAGCGTGGTGCCACCGGACGACATAGTGTTAATATAGACACGTTCTGTTGCAGATCACCATGAGGGTAAAACGGCAGAGTGACTCGGACGGTGGACAAGTTATTGATAATATTTTCAATGTGAGTATTCCATAAATCATAGCAGTGATTATATTGAATGTTAAACAATCGGATTGTAATAGAGCCAAAACACTGAAATTTTTATCATGAACAGCGAACTTTTATTTAATTTCAAGCACTCCAAGTTTGTTGAAAAGTGGGAGGTTTTATAAACATTTTTTTTTTTCAATCGGGTCATAAATTATTTTACCATCTGTGTTCATTCTTTTTGTTGAAGATCTATTCACCAAAGTTCGTCAATATTTTATTCGTCTGATAAATGATAAACATTTTAATATTCCCACATTCCTTATGCTCTCTCAGTGCTCTACTTCTCGCAAAAATTAATGTACTAGTAGCCTCGATTACCAGTATTGTAATTCAAATTGTGTTTGATTGCTTAGATCCCGATCACAGCGATTAGGCAAACCGCAGTAGCGGCGCAGTCGTTCAGTCCAGAGAACTCACAGACGATTGACAATGTCTTACAGGTATTAATGATTTGTTCATTTGATGTTCATTTGATGAAGTTAGCGAAGTCGATGCTAATTTTGTTAAATTACTCGTCTAGATTCCAATATCGACTCTTGAAGCTGTCGGAAATCTCGTGAAATCGACATCAGGACAAAGAGCTCAGAATGCTGAAGAATATCAACGAATAAGGCAGGAAAGGAGGGACAGATTGGCAGCGCAGAGGGAACGACAGAGACAGCAGAGGGAGCAGATACAACAACAACGTCTTCAACAACAGCAGATTAAAAGGACCATCAAGTTTCACGATAAAGATCCGTTCGGATTGAACGCGCTGTCGAACCTTCTGGTTGGTAATCATGGTTTATTCGGTAGTTATGGTGGTCACGGTGGTCATGGAGGGCACATGGGTCTTGGTGGGCATGGTGGTAATGGAAATCATGGTAAATATCCCATCTGTCTGCCTATATACTCTGTCACGCGCGAAAAATCCAAAACAGAGGAACCGTATGAAAGAATAAACGACTTTTAATAATTGAGTTTCATTTGTAATAATTAGACCGAGGATTTGTACAATAGAAATTTTCAAACCGCAAAAGGCAAGCTGTAAAATTTCATAATATTTATTACTTATCTACAATTTTATGTTACTTATCTATCATTTGTTTGACATTTCACTATTTAGTAAAAATTATATCAGCTAGATATTTTATCTATTACGGATTCTTCCACTGAGATTAGTCTCTGCGTATGTTGCAATTTGCAAGCGCAGAATTTAAATACGCTTTCTCCTCGGATAGTTATCAGTACTATAAGCAGCGCTACAACATCGTGTAGAAGATCGTGATGACTGATCCCAGAAAAAATGTGCAACAGATTTGCAACAAATTCTATGCAGACAAGTATCGGGTAAACACACTCTATGCACAAACATTGTCATATTGAAAAATTAATCGAACGTTGAACAATTTATATCTGGAACGTGTCAAAGGAGATCAGAAATAACTTTTAACAATTTCATCGTTGACGCGCAAGAATGAATTGTTGTAGTTTTCCACGCATTGAGTCAGCTTAATTTACATACAAAGAATGCACACGATCTACCACCACGATCCATAGTACAGCGGTTTATCGAAGGATGTCAAGTCGAACAAAGTTTTATGAAGTCTTTGTCTTAGAATTTTTAATTTCTTTGTCATTGTCCGGGGTTCATGAGAATATTTATGAAGCCTTGCGGGTATCTTCTAGATGGAAATAACAAGTAACTATTTTCAGGCATCCACGGAGGCCACGGCAGCGGGACAAACAATGGTCAGCACACTTACGAGGTCCACGAAAATATAGAAGAAGATACAGCATACACTTGGCACGGAATCACTGCCGGATTTGGGACTTACCATGGATCAAGGCCCACCAATACTATCACAACTATACAAAACAAAATTGCACCCAAGAACAAGAAGCAAATCACCTTTAACTACGAGAACAACGGATACAACAAAATTGCATCGAATACTGCAACGAACGGACTACAGAATGAAGAAGACGGTCCGATACAAAATAAAATTGCACCGAAAAGTAACAGAATATCTTTTCAGTCGTGAAACGGACAGATAGTGTAAAAGATTGATTTAAATAATTGCGCCTTGTAGGAGATTGTAGATGATTGTATATGATTTGAAAGCAGTATTAAGAATTTTGTGCAGGATGTTCCAGCAGTCGTGGTAGAATTAGAATAGAGGAATTTTTTTAATGAGTAGGCAAAGGTGTGCAATCATATTTGTAATTGTTTTCTTTCCGAGAAAATAGACTTGGACGGTTCGTCGGAACGTTTACGTTATTGATTAGAATCAGAGACTGTGAGCGATAAGCAGACATGCTAATAGATCTAGGAAACAAAAAGTTGAATAAGAATAATTCTGTTTTGCTGTCGCGACGGCTGGAAGTAGAAAAGATAGGCCTTGTAATTTTGTAATAGGCCTTTACGTTTGTAAATTTTCGTTCTGCAGTATCTTCTCAAGAAGAAGAAAAATCTAAAATTGAAATTTTAGATTTTTTTTCATAGTCCTCGTTCAAAGAATTAGGAAAAAGAATTTATATCTTTTCATTCGTATTGGAAACAAGTAGAATATATGTGCCTTGATCAAGCACAAATGCCGTCTTTTATTCAACAGCACGTGTACTGTATTATATACATTTTATAAATTTGTAATGTTTGAATCTTTAAATGGAAAGATTTTGTATCTTTAGTTTAGAATTGGAGTCAGTAGAAACACACACACACACACAGTGAATTATACAGAAATATGATACTAGCTACCGTTGAATAATAAACTACGTGCTACGAATTAATTATTTTAGATACAGAAAATAGATAGAAAATAGATACAAAAACTATTTGATCAAAAACTTGCGCTTCTATGAAGTAGAAATAGTAAATCATAGTCAGACGTTTTGTTATTAGCATACATATGAAGTACATGCACTATAACCTGAAAACTTTTTCTCTGACGTAGCACAAAATTTTCCACACACTAATTTTAACTTCCATTTCGTAAAATAATTACGAATATTACACTGCGATATTTCGAAGTTCAAAGAATCAACTGTGTCATTGCAAGGTTAAAGACAAAGTAGCCAAGGTGGCAATTGTATCCTTAATTTACGAGCGCCGTGAATAGAAAAGATAAGTTTCGACCAGACAAATTGGGACGTTCATGTGACATGGAAAATTTTAAACACACATTTATGAACCACGATTACTGGACCATCCTGTATACGGAATTCATGTGACAATCAATACAAATTAATCGATCCTCCAGAGTGAATTACATTACACAATCGATAAAAGTGGTCATTGTTCCTGGAGGAAGTAAACGTCCAAAGCCTGCAACTTCAACTAAATGTGGTTATACGGGGGAAATCGTTGTGTTGTGGTAATAAACAGACTAAGCTCGCCGATGGGGACTAAGATAGCATTATTCTGACTCATTGTAACCCGTAAGAACTCGTTTCAACAACGATCTCCGAATCCATGCGCGCAACTACGTCACCGCAGATAACGCGATTCGTGAACATGTAATCAATATGCCCGTTCGACCGCACATCCGTTTCAGTAAACATCCTATTTTTAACATTCGTATCTACATCAGTAATACACCTTCATTTTTAGTTAATTTAGTTATTAAACACCCATCGATAACAGTTGAACAACGTGTGAACATTATTTGACACTTATCCATTTTTCCATTATTATGTTACTTTTCAGGATTAAACCTTGAATGAAATAAAAAGTTTATTAAAGCGGATTCTGTATGTTGTAAACAGACCGTGAGTTTTGTGCATTTAAAACAAAAATGATTAAGGCAATCAAAATTAGAATTATGAATGAAAGAATGAATTATCTGCCTAGCGCATCTCTTTCAATTTATATTTGTCTCTTTTAGTTTTCAGTTTGTTTATTGTACATGCAGTTTATTGTACAGTTCTCGTAATTAGATCGCGAATGGCTACAGGTAAATTTCTCAAAATTAAAACGAACCAAATATTTATTACGTTGCTTTCAAGATCTCTTGAGATCTAAATAGTATACAGGGCGTCCCAAAATTATTCTACAAGCAAGAAATAAGGGATTCCTGAGGTTATTTGAAATAACCTTTTCCTTAGCGAAAATGCAATCCGCGGCTTCATTTATGAGTTAGTAACGAAAAACAGTGACTAATGAGAGGCGAGATCAGTTGACGCGAACCGGCCCAGCCAACGAGCGGTGGGAGCCTAGTTCTGCTCATTGGTTCAGCCGCCTCGTGCCAGTTAATCTCGTCTCTCATAGGTCACTGTTTTTCGTTAATAACTCATAAACGAAGCCGCTAAGAAAGAAGTTACTTCAAATGATCTCACGAACCCGTCATTTCCTGCTTGTACAATCATTTTTGATCACCCTATAGAAACATTACCAATGTTTGTCACCAAATCAGCGTCATCTTGCAACTGATTAGTAAATTAAACAAATGCAGCAGAGTTTGAAATGTATAATTTTCAAAAAAGCTTATTAAAAAATATAAAGACTGACTATATATTTTTAGTCATCAGCGCCATGACTACAGATGTTACAGATCTGCTACATTCTCGACACAATTAATTGATAAATGATCCAGAACGCCTAGCTTCTCTTTTTCGTCTCAGAATCAATCAAACGACAAAGTAGCGCTTGCCTCTTATCGCGAATATAATGCTATGTTCTCCAGTAAAACGTCGCGTCACTTATTTTTCTGTTCGTTTCAGCGTCACGAGTACACCGATTTCCACCGAGAAGGTAATTAAGCGGCAAATTGTCCAGGTTATCGTAATGTCTTGCGTGTAAAATATAGCGCGCAAGGTTGAATGAATCATGTTCGTGAACGGTGGCTCCGAGAAAAACATGAACACGCGTACGAATCGACTTCTTCGTCAAAAAGTCGGCCACCGTTTGATTAGCTGTTTATGAAACTACTAGGGAGTTCGACGATCTCTATGGTAATGATGCGGTTGCTATGTTATCGAGCCGGGAAAAGGAATCTTCGGATTAACGGTACCATTTCGGGGCATTTGCTACGTCAAAGCAACCGGACACCTGTTATTTCGACTGAAACGAACTGAAAGGAGATTGTTAGCCTCAATTCTTAAGTGTCGAAGGATAGTTAATTCACCTTTGATCCCGGAATATTGCGCGTGTTTAATCTTCTATGGTTTTTTCCATTTCACCACGTCACTTGGAAGGAAAAAAGCTAATCGTTTCCTGCGACACGTTTTTTGCTATTATTTTGTTACGATTGATTTATGGGAACTCGAAAAGATTTAGGCTTCGCGATACAGACGTTATCGTGTCAAGCCACCATTATGCACGTTGTGTCTATTGTACATTGTTTGCGGACGCTGAGTCACATGTCTGTTTGATGTGTTCTCTTGTTTGCAAGTTATGGCTTAATCGCAACCATGTCAGCTTTGGCTACTGAAGGAGAATAAAGTTCTTGATACTTTTTACTGCATGGAGATGCTTGGTAATTTTAACTATTGGGTTGGCAACTAATTGCCAATTTCAGTTATAGATGTCTCTCACTCCCATTTTTATGATATCTGTAAATGTTATATTATAAAATTATTATTATTATTATTATTATTATTAT